TTGGGCAGAAACAAAGAGAAGATGCTCCTTGTTAAATTGGTTAATAGAGGACTTGGAAGCTTTGTTTCCTGTAGAAAAAACATCTTTACCCTAAACAGTAATCTTTCTAACTTCTGTTGCATGCATCGCATTTCCTTTTTTATATGTGCTCTCATTTATTTTCATGGCAAACGCATTTTTAAACACAGTCTCTGGGATAATTATTGCCATCAATTAGTTTTGGTATTTCTTTTTTAATGATATTTTTATTTATTCCTTTTTGCTAGCTGGATTGCCTTTTGCAATTCTTACTTCAAGGGATACCCCCTTTCAACGAGGAGTATTCTGTAATGATGAATCCATCAAGTACCCTTACAAAGAAGACACCATACCTTATGCGTTATTAGGTGGAATAATCATTCCATTCAGTATTATCGTTGTAAGTTAATTCTACTTTTCCAAGTTTATAACTTATGGGCACTTGACCTAATTTTGTGTTAATCTGTTAATGATTAAATGTGTAACCCTCCCAAAACAGTGTGTGTTTTTTAACCTTTAATTGATGGTTTATTTGGTCAAGATAATCTCAGCTATTTTAAGTGGGACTAGAAGAATAATAATGTATAATTAAAAGAGCTGGGCATGGTGGCACATGCCTGTAGTCCCAGCTACTTGGGAGGCTGGGGGTGATGGATAGTTCGAGTCCTGGAGTTTGAGGCTGGTTTGTGCAATGATCATGCCTGTGAATAGCCACTGCACTCCAGCCTGGGCAACATAGTGAGACCTTGTTTCTAAAATAAATAAATAAATTAGAAGAATCTTAGTGAATGTGTATAGATTTTTCTGCTAATCATTTCCATGTCACTATGATTATAAGGGCTCTAATTTCCTATTGTTTAAATAATTGTGCGATCAACAGCTGAATTTATAGCAATATGTTTCTAGCATACTTTATATATAAAATATTATTTTATAATTTATTGTATCTGTGTGTATGTGCCTACTCCCTTTGATTTTCCCTCTCTACTGAGTTTTAGAAAAGAAAAATTGCTAACTAATGTTAAAACTTTGTTTAACCCATGATTCATTTAATGAATTTTCAGATAATACCATACACAGGAGAGAAAAGCTACAGTTCTATTTATAATTACTGGTGCTGAAAGCAAGACTGAGTCTTGAACCACAATAGTAACTATTGTTTTCTAGTATTTCAGGTGGAAATGCTTAGAGAATGTATCTAGGGAGAAGACTTCAGTGATTGGACTAGATGATCTTTATAATCTCTCAACTCGGAAATTCTATGACTTAATTCAACAGTTTGTGCTCCATAACTTGTAACTTTATGGATCTATCATGCTTTGGCTTTGTGACTCTGCTAATTATAACTTGTAACTTTAGAAATAAGATTTTTGTTAGTTAAAAGAAGAAAATACGGTTCTGTCCAGGACATAGACCAATAAGATGACAGTGTATATATCTTGTCTGTTTTTGGAGTGTATTTAAAAACTTTTAAATTTAGAAATGTAATGTCTTTATCGGGAATGATCACAGTACCTTATTAGCAATGAAAGTTAATCAAGTCATGATTTGTGGTGCATGATTAATAAAAGAAAACCTGTAGTATACAAATGTTTGTTTCACATGACTATGAACTCCTTGAAGGCAGAGATGGTACCTCTTTCATCTTGGTATCCTCACTGCCTCATATGGTGCCTGGCATGTCCTATGTACTTGAATGAAAGCTGTGGGGTAATTGTGCAGTAATTTGCTAACTCTCTTGCAGTATGGCAAAATTTTAAGAAATCAAGGATTCCTTTAATCTAGACAAATCTTTGTGCTGAGTTTTTACTACTAAAAGAAAGTCAAACCTTATTTTGAAAGTATCTGTGTTTCTGAGAGATTGCTATTTAAAATTTTTAGTAAGACTATTAGTGGTAAATATTAAATAGTAACCGATTTCAGACAAGATTCAAGTATTCAAATAAACAATACTTGTTTTTCAATTCTGTTTTTCTTTGTGTTTCAGTGAAAAGGATGCCACATAAGCAAAACTACAGAAATTCACTATAGACTGGAGGGCTGCAACAGAGCAGGGTGCTAATTGCTGGGCACCAGCTCAAGGCCTTACAAAATGCTTAGTTAGAAAAAACTCATGAATTATATTTAATTAACTTGGAATTTTTAGCTGTTTCAACATAATCTGTGAGAAAGGTATCTTTACATTTAATAAAACATCAAGTAAATTAATATGAGTGTAGATTTCTTTAAAATGAACAGACTGTTAAAATTCCAGTTTATTCATTAACTCAGACTCTCTCAGGCAGTACTTGGTTAGACTTACATGTGCTTAACTTTATTTACTAGAAAGTAAATCACTTCTTTAAAAAAAAATCACTATGATTCAGACTTCACACCAGGCCTTTGACATGACTTGCAGGTGATCCATTAATAAATGAGTGATCGAGGGAACCTGGTAGAGAACCAAAATTAATAGTTCTCAGAAGTCTTGAGAGAATTTTAAGAAGGAGAAAATGGTCACTGAAGTCAAATACTACTGTGAAGTTAAAGTAAATGAGGGTTGATAAAAATCTGTGTGTTCTGATGAAACAATTTTGACTTTTGAGAAAGATTCCATAGAATAAAGGGAATGGAGGTGGTTAAAGATATTTAGGAGGGGAGTGGAAGATGTGGAAATGTGCCATTGATTTTAGACTATTCTTTTGGGAAGGTGGGCTCTGAATGAAAGACAAAAAACTGTAGGGACAGTGTAGAGGAATATAAAATCATCTTGGTTGTTGGAGATATAAAGGACATGGTAAGAGAATGCTAATGAGGTGTAGGTTTAAGAGGTTGATTACACTGATTAAATAATTATTAGCTTTGATTGTCATAAGTATTCTGTTTTACTCCCCCAAATGTTATCTTATAGTTCTTTGCATATTTATCATATCCTTAGAATGTAAGTAAATAATGCATGACAAGTCATCTCACCTCTAGGATTAGGCCACAGTTTAGGTGTAGACTTCACTGAAGGTTAAGAATTGGCATAAATGGCTCTAAGGGCAGGATGAGGTATTCAAATGAAACAAAAAGAATATGTCTATCTTGTGTAGATAAAATGGATAGACATCTTTACATTTAATTCAGAAGAATTAATTTAGAACTTCTCTATTGTCTATTTCTCTTAATAAAGAGGGAGCACATAATAAAAGATAATATAAGCATTTGGTAGCTTTGGAGTCCTTTCCACTCTCTGGTTAAGTTTCAGCTTATGCTGCTTCTGTAGATCAGCTTTTAATCTGGCCTACTCTGAATGTTCCTAGCAACCTGATTTTCTGTCATCAGTGGCTTGAACCAGGATTTGGGTGGCCATAAACAATGATGATTATGACTAGGAAGACTCACAAAGTTCAGTACCTGTTTCTGGAAAATAATTGAGTGCTTAAGCACAGTTGACAGCTGAGATGTGGAAGTTTGAACTGCTAAAATTGTAATTGATTAATATACTTGGTATGTTTTTAATTATCAAAGATCAATTCCATAATGAAATGTTAGAGAAGTCCTTTCTAGCTACTTATCTATTAGGAATTACTGTACCCCCTTAATGGCCTGAGGAGGAAATATGTACTTAAACACAAGGTTTCTGTAGGCGGTCAGGGATAACCCTAAGCAAAATTGTGAAGATATGAGGTCCCTAGAAGTACACATAGTTTTCCTCTTCTGTGACGTGCTCTCAGAAAGGGATGTGATTAATTCATTCACATTAAGGACTATAATGAGGACTGTATTTTTGTGAGGCTTAATGTTTTTAAATTAAGAGTGTTTGCCTTTTAATTGAGGGCAGCACCTTCAATTAAAATTCATTGATCAGCTACTTTGTTTTAAATCACTGTGCGATACCAGCTCTCTATTCAACAATTATGAAATCCTCCTTGCTTTTGTAGAGTTCATAGTCTAGTAGTCAAAGTTATAACATTCTAACTATGGAATTCTAGGACCCATGGAGCCAGATAAGGAAAGAATTTTTGGTATCAGATCTTGAAATACCTTTTAGGAAGCAATCATTTATTTCACTTGTAGTAAGGCTCATCTTGAAGGCAGTTAATCCTCATTAAATGGAAACATGTCAGTGCTTTTTAAAATTGTTTATATAAACTTAAGGTGAAGCAGGGAAACTAGTGTGCATCTCAACTGAAACTTTATTACTTATATTCCCTGTACACAAATTAGCAAGCAGACTATTCTCTGTTTAAGTGTTTATTTTGGTCTTAGGTAGAGAGAGTATCTTACTGTCTTATTTAATCAGCAGATGTTATTATTTATAATGTTGCCATTTTCGTTATTCTTTGAATTTCTCAGGATATTGATTTAACTTGTAAAGCATTTGGAAACCTTTTTATATCTTTAAACTTATGACTCAGAGCTCCCATGTAAAGATTTCCTGGAAGGCAGGACTGGTAGACTCTCAGCTAAATCCCTGCCCTCTGTACCTTTTGGCATCAGTGTTAGATCCTGGCTTTTATATTAGATTTTTTTCTTCCCTGAAACTATTTTACCTTTTATAATATGACGGATGTCTTTGATTCAAAGGAATGTTTGAGAAAATGAAGATGTCAAAAGTACTTATATAGGGAGTTTCTGATTGGGGAAGTGTGTGTTTTTTGCACAAGCCATAGTTTTTGTCCTCCAGGATACATCAGTATCTACTTACTGAAGATCAATTTTATTTTAATACAAGAAAAGAAATAAGGTCTTGTTGTTTCTGGTAGGTTATGAAATGATTTTGGCTGAGCCATGGCTTTGTAAGCAGTGTCCACATTTGATCTGACACCTTTTTTTTTTTTTTTTGTAGTTTCGAGTTAGATATCCTAAATTGACTCCTCAATTGTAAAGAAAAAAAAGTGGTGGAGCTGTTTTTAAAACAGATCATATTGTGATTTACCATTTTCTTTTCTATGTTTTGTTTTGTTTTAAGTGCCTGCTTGCTACTTTAACATACTATTTTTCTGTTTCTTTTTCAGATTGTTCTTGGAGAAACCCTGTCTGTTTACTTTAACCTCTTGCACTCAAATTCCTTTATCAGGAATAACTACATAGCCACTATTTACAAAGCCATTGGAGCATTTTTATTTGGTGCAGCTGCTAGTCAGTCCCTGACTAACATTGCCAAGTATTCAATAGGCAGACTGCGACCTCACTTCTTGGATGTTTGTGACCCAGACTGGTCAAAAATCAACTGCAGTGATGGTTACATTGAAAACTACATATGTAGAGGGAATGCAGAAAAAGTTAAGGAAGGCAGGTGAGTGTTAAATCTTTAATGCTTGTTTTATCTTGTATGTTCTTTGAATAGAAGGTGTCAGTGACTGGACAACAATCCATCTACTAGCTTAAAGAAAGAAGCTAGTGTAATCACTGGGAGGTGAATTGAAATCATGTTTGACCTGATGTCTCTCTCCTCATTCTTTTTTTCTGTTTTATTCCTATCCTCCATTTAAGACCATTTTACTATAGCTCTTTTCATCACCAGTGTATAAGAATGTAAAATGAACCTTATAGATCATTGAGTCCAGGGTCAGTAAACTCTTTCTTAAGACACCAGATAGTAAGTACTTTAGGCTTTGTGGGCCATGTGGTCTCTTTCACAACTATCAAACTCTGCCACTGTAGTAGGAAAGCTGCCATAGACTATACTTGAATGAATGGTAAAACTTTACACAAACTAGTAAAACTTTAGTAAAACTTTACACAAACAGTGGCTGCCCCAGAGGTCGTAGTTTGCTGAACCCTGATGCAGTACAACCATTTATGAAGCTCTGCCAGATCTTCAGTATTCTCAGAGCATATTTTTTTTGTAAGGTGACTTGGTTAAGGTTGTGACAGCTCTAGGTCTTCAGGTTGATAATACATCCACTTTCTATATTCAGGAGTGTTATTAGACATGAATGAAATAGAATGTTTAGAACCTAGAAGGTCCAGCTCCTTTAATTTAGATTGAGGAAATACCAGAGCCCCAAGAACATTAAGTAAAGCCACTAATTAGTAGCAGAGCCAATTGCTCATCTCAGGTTTCAGAATTGTCAGCCTTACTTTTTCTATGTGGTTGACCTTTTTATATTTTAAGATAGGTTAATTTCTCTTAGTTCATCATTTATTAATAACAAATACTTTCTCTGGGTAAAACATCCTTTGATTGTTTTTTTGTTTTTTTTCTTTTTTTCAAGACAAAGTCTCACTTTGTTGCCTGGGCTAGAGTGCTGTGGCATCAGCCTAGCTCACAACAACCTCAAACTTCTGGGCTCAAGCAATCCTCCTTCCTCAGCCTCCAAAGTACCTGGGACTACAAGCATGCACCACCATGCCCGGCTAATTTTTTCTATATACTTTTAGTTGGCCAATTAATTTTCTACTTTTAGTAGAGACGGGGTCTTGCTCTTGCTCAGGCTGGTCTCGAACTCCTGACCTTGAGCGATCCACCCACCTTGGCCTTCCAGAGTGCTAGGATTACAGGCGTGAGCTATGCTATGTGCTGGGGATTCAGTGGTGAGAATATCCTGGCCTGATTGTTTTTTATATATGATTTCCAGACACTTCATTGTCCTCTTGGTTCTCTTGTAAGCAACATAGGCCTGCTAGAAGCTCCTATTTTTTTGCATTTAGTGGGAGTGAAAAAGACACCTTATACAACAAGAGTATACACTATGCTATGTGCTGGGGATTAAGTGGTGAACAAGACATCTGTTGTCCCCATCTTCATGGAGCTTAGTCTAGGAGGGGAGAGTTACATTAAACAAATGATAAGGATGGAAAAGGATTGGGCTGTCTCTGTTGACCAATCTCAGCTGCTTAATCACAAGCATTGTCATCATTTCATCCAGTTGGTTGCAGTAGACATCCCCTGTAATCAATTGACCAGGTTTCATGAATCTGTAGTGGATAATACCAGCACTGGACGACCAAACAGACACCATTAGCTTTTTTTTTTTTTTATGAATATTCAGTTTTGGACTGTGTTCAGCACTTTATCCAGCCATTATGCTAAACACTTGCAGTTGTCAAAATAATCCATTTTCATCACACATAACAATATGGTATGAAAATGGTTTGCCTTTATGTCATGACAGCAAAGAAAGGCAAGCTTCAAGACGATTTCTCTTCTGATGCTCGTTTAATTCATGTAGTACCCATCTATCCAGCAGCTTCTTTACCTGGCTGATTTGTTTCAAATGGTCCAGTATTGTTGGGTTAGTAACGTCAAACCTTGTTGCTAATTCACACATAGGTTGAGAAGGATTCACTTTCACCACAGCTTTGAGCTCATCATTATCCACCTTGGTCTCAGGTAACCTATGTGGCTCATTTTCAAGATTAAAATCACCAAGGGAACTTTTCAAACCATCAGTGTACTGTGCATTCATTAGCCACATCCTTCCCAAACACTTTGTTGATATTTCAAGCTGTCTGTGCAGCATTGGTTCCATGCCAGAACTCATATTCAAAAATAACACGCATTTTTGACTTATCCATGGTTTCACAAAAATTGCTCTAAAAATATGTGAAAGATAATCACAAGCCAAACCATGCATTTGGAAGACTGAGGATGTACTGTCACAATAAAAATAAAACAAGAAGTGTTAAAGTGAAAAATATCAGAGATATCAACTGTCAAACTTAGTACTTAAGGAAATCAGATATTTCATACTCATTAACCTAATATCTTTCCTGGATCAACCAATATAAAATAGACAGGAAAACTCTAATCTTTTCTGTCAGCCAAGGAATTTAAGAAAGTCACTATGGTGATAAGAGTTTACCTGAACTCCAGAGAATGTCATTGTAAATGTTTTTTAAAAGACACAAATTTTTCATACATATATTGTTTCTCTGGTTCAAGTACATAAGTTTTAGTTCAAAATTTTCTTGTGATATTTCTTATCGATGAGATATTTGCTTTTTACACAAGCCACTTTGATAAAATGTGAAATAATTCATTTAAAATGGCATAGAAGGAATTATGTTTTGGTCCTTTTGTGTCAATACTCTCTCTCTCTTCTTAGTGTATGTAAATTGGCTGACATATACTACTGCTGTGATTATGCTTTTGACCTAAGTGCTCTTAGGCTTTTTACCTCAGCCTTTAAAGTTTCCATACTAAATGAACATGTAGTTGTCCTCTTAAAGTCCTGTGTAAGGCCGGGCGCTGTGGCTCACGCCTGTAATCCTAGCTCTTGGGAGGCCGAGGCGGGCGGATTGCTCGAGGTCAGGAGTTCGAAACCAGCCTGAGCAAGAGCGAGACCCCGTCTCTACTATAAATAGAAAGAAATTAATTGGCCAACTGATATATATATAAAAAATTAGCCGGGCATGGTGGCGCATGCCTGTAGTCCCAGCTACCCGGGAGGCTGAGGCAGAAGGATCACTCGAGCCCAGGAGTTTGAGGTTGCTGTGAGCTAGGCTGACGCCACGGCACTCACCCTAGCCTGGGCAACAAAGTGAGACTCTGTCTCAAAAAAAAAAAAAAAAAGTCCTGTGTAAGGGTTGGGAAAACAACCTCTTTAAAATCGTTATGAATATTTGGAAACCTCAAATTACAGAGGTGTATTCATTAATAATTATTTATAATTTTCAGTGAAAAAATGTCTTGATAAGCTTTGGGGTTCTGAAGCAAGGAGAAAGGAAAATCAGATGTAGAAGTGAAGTTCTAGGAAGGCTTTTTATCTTCTTAGAAAAATGTGATTTCCATCAGTGTTTCCAGAATGAGTCAGTTGTTGCCAGTTTCAGAGCTGTGTAATGTTGGAATGTAACTGTGGCTTTGCATTGCTGTTCTATTGTGGAGTATAGTTTGGCTGGATACAGACTTTTCTATTCCTTTTCTCTTGAATTTTAAGATTCAGAAAGCCAAAAATGCAAAAACATTTTGGTTTAAATATTATCTACAGTTATTAGGATTAGAGCGTAATCTGATCTTTTAACTTTTTTTATCTTCACAGCCTGTCCTCATATAAATTTTTAATTATAAAATTATAATGCTTAGCACTGGGGGAAAAGGGAACATAAGTGCCCCAAATGAGTTGTTTTTGTTGACTTTATAAATGAGTCACAGTTACATGTTAGGATGAAAATATCCTCCTACGATTTTGGTTTTTGGTCTTGATTTTTTCCCATTCTCTTATTTTCTCTCAACCATCCTCCTCTTTCCTGTGTATGTGCACACACACTGTTGGGCTCTGTCTGCTATTACTGATATCACAGGACTTTTACTGGACTTCAGTTGTAGTGGCCATTAGGTCCTAAACATAGGAGTGAGAGCATAAATGAACTTTAATGGAATATTTATTAATTGTTATATCTAGAGAGTTTCTATTCATAGTTTAAAATTAATACTTGAGAATTTAACTTAAAAGGGCTATCCTTGCAACCTTAGAATATCCATTTATTAGGACTGTCCTTGCTTATGCCAATGAGAATGCCATTCTCAGTTTTAAAAAAAGCACTAATGAGCACTGGTAGTTGAGAACTGTAGCTCCCTCACCTGGTCAAGATTCTCTTTAGTAGTGGCTTTCAAACTTTAGCGGTTCATTAGAATCATCTGGAGGGCTTGTTAAAACACATTGCTGGGCCACATTCTCAAGTGCCTGATTCAGAAGGTTTGGGGTGGGGCTTGATCTTGGAACCACACTTTGAGAACCACTGCTTTAGGTCACCTGGATTATGGGAACATGACATTTGTGTGGCATCTATCCCAGAAGGTGGGAGCTGATATTTACCCTGTTAGGTAAGGTGAATTTAAGGTTGTGCACAGCTACCTGGTCTATTTGTGATCCTACAGTATATCAACTATTGGCTGCTTTAAGAGATTCACTTTTTTCTGGCTTTCATTTAAATTGTTTATGTTTAAGTACAAGCTCAGTGTTTCTGATCAATTTTAAGTGACTAATCTCTGGCTGTTATGAATCAGATATTCAATACGAAAGTATTTCTGTTTGGATTTTGGCAGCCTAGTATTAATTGTAGTATATATGATTGAATATAAGAAATAATTTTCCTTATTTAAATGCAATCCATATGCAGGTACATAAAGCTGACGTTTGAGGAAGTACTTTGTAAAATAGTGAAAAACCATTATATCTAGAGTGATTAGCTCTAGTACTTAAGTACCTGGTGAAACCTGCTTTATACTTTGAGAGAATGGATTCTTCTGTATGGTCTAATTGTAGATATTACTGGCTAAGCCTTTATGACTACAAAAATATTCATTTGTTCAGCCTTACCATATTTCTCATGCATGTGTATATCAGTAAC